CAACGACAACTTCTGAAAGCTACAGGTGTAAACGTTTCAATTGAAACCATAAGAAAAAGACTTCGCGCTCGAGGGTTGTACAGTAGAAGAGAGTTACGGGTCTCACCGTTATCTAGGAAAAATAAAATTGGCCGGCTAAATTGGTGCCTTCAACACCAAAACTGGACAATTGAAAATTGGCAAAATGTTCTGTTTTTGGATAAAACCAGAATTGGTCTAAGATCAGATGACCATCGAATTCGGGTTCTCAGAGCTCCAGGAAGATGAGCGAGACTTCACGCTGCCAGATCTCCCCCAAGATAAACTGTAATGTTCTGGGGAGGTATTATGCTGGGAGCAAAAACTCTATTATTACCACTTCATCAAACTTTAAACGGTCCGAGGTATGTTGATTTAGTGCTAGAACCAATCGTTAGGCCTTGGAGACCTGCAATTAAGGAAAATTTTATCTTTATGCTCGGTAATGCACCTCCCCATACCAGCAGAGTGGCAAGAGAATGTCTTGAAACGAAAGGTGTCACAGTTTTAGAGTGGCCTGCATGTTCACCAGATCTAAGTCCTATCGAACCCTTATAGGACCAGCTCAAAAGAAGGGTTAGAGCTAGTCGAAACAATGCAGGAAATATCGCACAGCTTATTGATGCAGCATTAGCAGAATGGGAAAACATACCCCAAGACAATGTTGACAGTTTAATAAGAAGCATGCCAAGGCTAGAGGTGGTAACACGGTTTGTTAAAATTACCAATTTTTGCTTTTCGGCTATTAAAAATTTAAATCTCATTTCGTTTCAGAAACCAAAAAAATACCATTGTGTTTATTTTGTCAACTATTTGATTATTTTTATTGCCATGGGGATTATTTGTCATCAAAAGTGTTTGGTAAGGACTGAGTGTTATTAATGAACAAAAAATGTTCATATATCTCAAAAATTATGAAAAATAATAGATGATTCCATATAAGTTTGGTTGTGATTTTTATACAAAAATTGAATGATTTTTAGACACGTACATAAAATTACAACGTTTAAATGGATAAATGAGGATAAAAGATCCAGAAACAGGACGTAGATATGAATATTTAAAATTAAAAATAGATAATTATACAAACGACGAGAAATTTGATTTCGTAAAATGTTAAGGTTATTTTTATAAACAATTTATTATTATTATAGTACGTTTAATTATGTATTATGTATATTTATGTACTATTATTGATGTTTTTATTGTATTTTGTATATATTTTTAAAAAAATGTACATATTTATTGAACTTGTAATAAAAAGTAGTTTTCAAATGAATCAGATTTTTTAGTATTGGATAGATAAATTTGGTTCCATTTCAAAAGGTCAACATCAGTAATATCAGGGTCACTAGGTAAGCCTAATCAAACAAGCGTTAATTATTATGCCTAGTTCGAGTAGTAAGCAAATTTTAATACTCTATCAAGTGTGCGGTTCGAGTGCCCAATTCGAGGCCGCCGTAATAAATATTCTTAAAGTAATAATATTGTTTTTGGATAACAATTGATTATTATTATGATTATTAGACCATCAAATCATGCTTTTACCAATATTTTTTTTTATTTTAAAGTTTGCGGAAAGATAAATTATATGGGAGTGGGGCGGCAAATGTAGCATTTGCCCCGGGCGGCAGAAACCTACGCTACGCCACTGAAAATAAACATGTTTGGCGCAATGAGGAATCAAATTTCAAATGGCAACGTTTTTACATTTGCCAAACCCTGAGAGATATACTGGCCATTGTCTCAGGCGTTCATCTGCAACATTGGTTGTTGATGCTGGATCTTTAATGACAGCAATAACACGTCATAGAGGCTGCAATTTCGCCTGCACAGCAAAAGGGTACATCGCCAATTCAAAAAAGGACAAAAAATTTAAATTAAAACAATAATGATAATTGTGTTATTCTTAATGATCCAACATCTTTTGCCAGTAATGATTGTGAACCTGTACTCATTAATAGCAATCATAATTTTTCTTTAACAACCAGTAATCACAATGATATTACCGGAGCCATTAATATTTCAAATTCTAATGACACTATTAATTACATCAATAAATAGTATTTAGCGAGTTCCTGCATAAAATGACTTTTTATTTCACAAGAGTTCTTAAATAGTCCTCATTTGAAAGGGCTCTTATTTACGAACAATTTTGTCAATTCTATTTTCAACAAATTTTTAAAAATCTCTCTTTCGTTTTCGGGTGGCCACCACCCTGTCGGTCTGGGACGTTTCGACGCGGCCATTTCGACGCAGCCGTTTCGACGCGGCCGTTTCGACGCGAGGACATTTCGACGCCGGCCGTTTCGACGCCGGGCCGTTTCGACGCCAAGTGTATTTTTTTTTAGGTAGGTAATAATTCATACAAAATAATATATTTGAAACGTCTCTTTTAATTTTATTATTAAGAATGCATAATATAATTATGTGATATTGCTTTTAAATATTCGTTTATATTTCTCTTTTTATAATCGATTTTTAAAATCCTCTCGTCACAATCGTGATGTTTTTTTTATTTAGCTGGCGACTGCTGGCCCAATAGTAATTGTTCATAAAAACAAGTCCCTTCCTGTTTGTAACTTTTTAAGTGCATCAATAAATTTCCATATTGTTAGATGATCTATGGACATTTCGTTTTGAAGTCGTCTGTGTGCAGCTTCGGCGTGATAGTTCGTTCTGTCTGTACCCTCCAAAACGAGTTTGTAGGCAGACCACAATGTGATCAAAAAGAGTGGATTGCGCCTTCCTTGACCCTGTCGTTGAGGACGTCCTACGTATGAGTCCTCTATTAGAGGATGCAACTCATTAGACAGTTCTCCAAATAAATGGTCGATTGCAATATCCATGTCTTCTTCAGGAACAAATGCCAAAAACCTCACCATTCGTGCATGAAGACTGAAATTAGCATCGGTATTATATCGACCCAGCAAATTCATTTGCGCCAAATGGTTTTTTATATTTTTCACCAAATTAAAAAAACAACCTAGCAGCTCGGCATTTGGAAACTCTTCTTTGAAAACGTTTATGGCACCCAGTTCAAAATCGTATGAAATCTTCTCCGGATTTGCAGCTGGCTGTAAATGTCCCATCATATCAATCATTCGGGCATATGTAGTTTGCCGTTTGTTGGGCAGGAGAGCATAAAGAACAGGATGAACTCCCCCAAATTATTTAGCCATAACTATGTAGGTAAAAAATTGAGGCAGTTGGTTTAAATGTCCCATCAACAAACCAATGTTTTGAGTCCGTCAAAATCTGTAAATACAGGGTGTTTCTAAATTCAGGAGGTGATGGCTCGTATGAAATTAAGATGGAAATTATTTGCACCCTCTCAGCTGACTTTACAACGAAATAAACTAAATCTTACTACTTTATGTCGACAAAAAAATGTCATCTGATAACAATAATTGAAAGCCACAGGAATAAAACTGGAATTGTTACAAAGAATTCCTTTTTTTTTAATAACAATGTAAAAATTATCCTTAACTGGTTTTGTACTTTTGGTGAGCCACTGTATGGGCTACACGAATAGTAGCGATGTAAAACTCGGGGGTTATGATCTATGTAAAAATACCTTTAAGATAAGTTATCATTCGACCTCTCTTTCTAGTTAAAATTTTAGGAGTGAGTCTCACCCCTGATTAAGGATTTTCGATCAGGGGGCGAAACTGGCAAAAAAATGTTTTTCCCTAAAATCAATAACTGACAGGTCAGCGCGTCTTTAGTAAATAACATGGTTTGTTGCCAGTACTACTAGAAAACTGTTTCTGACTTTAAATTAACATTCTTTTCTAACAGTGCTTGATCGGAAGCAACTTCCAAATGTTCTTCCTTCTCCCCTCAAGCATTTGCTCAATATCATATGTAAGAACTCTTGTCTTGATATTTATAGAAAGTTATTAGTCGTTTTTTTTTGTCATAGGGTTTTATACACCAAGAATAATAAACTCTTAAGTACAGGTTCAATGCGTTATCTATGACAAGTGACGGCGACTTTTTTATCACAAAAAATACAGCTCAGAACGATATTTTATCGAGGCATCCTGTCGCTATACCAACTTGGGTCACAACTGCTTCTTCATTTCACTTATTGGAATTTTTTGTCCACGTTGTGCTCAAACTGCTCTGGGTGCTTGCGCATCCAGAGCCCCCAGGATTCGGCGCCTATGGAAATGAAAACATAAGCCAGCTAATGGTTACATATTTACTACAGCCATCTATCAATGCTTACTGCCAATATTTAAGGAACAAGATAAATTACCCAATTTTATACAAAGAATAGATCTGCAAAAAAATAGACATTTCAAATATTTTTTTGAATAATTTATAACCTACTTAAAAAAAATTTACATTTGGCGTCGAAACGGCCCGGTGTCGAATCGGCCGGCGTCGAAATGTCCTCGCGTCGAAACGGCCGTGTCGAAACGGCCGCGTCGAAACGGCTGGGTCGAAACGTCCCATTCCGCCACCCTGTATACAGTTGTAGACAAAGTATAGTATTCAATTCGTGATAATGGACCATGTTATTCAAATATTTACAATACTCGTGTAATATGGTCTATATTATACACTTGTTAAATAATATACTACTACGTTTTCTATTTTGAATTTTTAATTCTTTTAAACATTAATTAATTGTATTAATCATGCAAGGATATATACGAGTCAGTGGCGTAGCCACGGGGGTTTGGGGGTCAGAACCACCCCCATGGAGTGACCTGGCGTCACCATTTCCGCTATAGTATTGGCGCTGATCACTATTGACTGTTTGTTTTTATTCATTTTCTTGATGGAACCCCCCCCCCATAGTTCTCAAAAACCCCTCCCATGAAAAATGGCTGGCTACACCACTGACGAATAGTGATTTATTTTAATCCCACCTAAATTTAATGTTAGTTTTTTCTATGTACATAATTATTTGGATCTTTAGTGTTTGTAATGTTACAAAAAAAATATCTTAACTTTTAATTTATTTCTAGATCTATGCAACCATCAGAGAGTTTGTTTTGTTCGCTGATAACTTGTGGCGAGGGATGGCATAACTATCACCACGCTTTTCCATGGGACTACAAAACAGCCGAACTAGGCTTTACCCCAATAAATTTTACCACAGGTTTTATCAATTTCATGGCATTTATCGGCCAAGCTTACGATCTGAAAACAGCGTCAGAAGCGTTAATCAAGCGAAAGGCAACGAATAAAGGAGATGGATCTTGGAAAAACCTAAAAAGCATTGACCATACTCCTGAAAATAGCATCTAGGGTTGAGACCATAAAGACATGGATGAGAAAGATATAAAAGTAACAAAAAGTGAATATATCTAGAAAGGAAAATATTTTTGTTTTATTAAATAAATACGAGTACATTATTCAATATAACTGTTATATAACAAATCCTTTTTTAAATAAAAATAAAAAAATAATAACTATCTTTTATTCATTTACTAATAGTATGGCAGCTTACAGCAAAATTGTAACGACTCGATAAAAAAAAACCGTCTTTTAATTACAAATAGTCTGGTAGCTTACAGTGAAATTTTACTGATTTCTTCAAAGCTTGTTCATTCTAAATAGCTAGTAATTGTGTATCCTGCGGTGATGTTCTCGGAGATAAGCTAATTGCTTGCGACAGCTGTCATGTCTTAATGCACCCCTCAGTGGGTTGCACCGGCCTGGGGGCTTCCGAACTGCGTGCTATTGTTTCACAAAAAATAACTCTGGTTTATTTTTGCGGGGATTATCGCCAGGCATTTAAAAGTGTACCCACAATACTGAGACAAATTAATAGCCTTAGATCAGAAATAAATTCATTGAAAGATAAAGTCAAAAAGCTCAAAGATAGAAAGAACGACATCCGATGATTAGTGAGGACATTAATACCGAACTTTACGAACGTCAAAAGAGAGCCAACAACTTGCTAATATTTAACCTACCTGAGCCAAACAATGTCTCTGATGATCTTAATCAAGTCAAAACTCTAATAACAAAGGCTAATATCCTTGACATTAACGATATCAAAGTTTTCCGCTTTGGAAAGAATAATAAAAATGGACATCGACCACTTAAAGTTTTGTTGAAATTAACTCCTAACGTACACGCCATTATCAAACATAAACACAATATCAGCCGCAATAAAAAGATTTTTATACAGCTGGACCAAAGGAAAACTCTGGACACCGTCAGAAGCGAGTTATTAAGACGTCAGCAAGCTGGTAAGCTAAACTTAACAATGAAAGATGTCAACAATACTCCTGTAATTATTACAAAAAACTAGATTACCAGAACGTTAGAGGCATTCAAACAAAACTATCCCAACTATGTCTCAATGTTACAAATTGTTCCTACGATGTAATTATTCTAACTGAAACATGGCTCACAGCTGATATCAACGACGCCGAACCTGGTCTTAACGGTTATAACATCTACAAACAGGATCGTTTACCCCAGTCCAGCATCTTTAGCAGAGGTGGATGTGTTTTAATAGCCGTTAGAAAAACGTTCTGCAATATATACGCCAATGTTTGGAGGCAATGGATTGGGATGGGCTTCTTCAAGGAAAGGAACTTTCAGAAATGATTCTTACTCTTTATGACGCTTTGTACTCGGTAATTGAGTTATTTGTTCCCTTAAAGAAATTTGTTATAAACAGATTCCCACATTGGTATTATTTTCAACTCAGAAGCTTGGTCAACGATAGAAAGTTTGCACAAAAGATTTACAAGCTAAACAGGACTCCCCAAAATTATGAAATATTCAGTTAGTTAAGATCACACTGCAGGATTATATCTAACGAATGCTATTCAAATTACATACATTCTGTTGAAACTTCTGTTAAAAGTAATGTTAAGGCCTCTTGGAATTTTGTAAGTACCAAAAGATTTAATAACAAAATACCTGATAATATGAATATTGAAGACTCTTTTGCTTCTTGTGGCAGTAAAGTATCAAATCTGTTTGCCAAGCATTTTTCATCAATTTACACAAATCAAAATCTAAATCAAAATTTTACCACATTTCTATTTCGAACATTTACGAGAAATTATCTAATCTTGACATAAAGAAAGGTTCAGGTCCTGACATTATTCTTTCCATCCTACTCAGAAATTGCAGCTTCGTATTGTCTCGCCTTCTCTTATATATTTTCAATAAATCTATCGCCATAAGTGAGTTTCCAGATTATTGGAAACTATCTTATGTCACCTCAATATACAAATAAGGTAGCAAGTCAGACGTCAAAAATTACCGACCTATATCTATTCTCAGTACTATACCTAAGGTTTTTGAGAACATTATAACAGACTACCTTACCTATGACTGTTCTGGCATCATAACGGATCATCAGTATGGTTTTTTGCTAGGAAATCGAGTGAATTGAATCTAGTTACCTACGTCGACTTCCTGTCGGAAGGGCTGCCAGATTGATTCTGTGTACACTTACTTTTCTAAAGCTTTTGACAGGGTTAATCATTCTCTTTTACTACAAATGCTCGATAAATATGGCATAAATGGGGTCCTACTGCAATGGATTAGTAGCTATCTTACGAACAGAACTCAAATGATTAGAGTAAACCATTACTATTCTAACTCATTTCAAGTTACCTCAGGTGTTCCTCAAGGATTACACCTTGGTCCCTTATTATTCAACTTATTTATAAATTACATTATTCATTGTTTTCAGTATGGCAAAGCACTATTGTTTGCAGATGATTTAAAAGTTTTCCTAACTATTAAAACCATTTATGATGCCCTCTGGCTTCAGTCTGACCTTGATAATCTATCAAACTAGTGTTCCTTAAATGGCATGGACTTATATGCCATAAAGTGCCATGTCATGCTCTTTTATCGATCCCATGTACCAACTACTACTTTTGACTATAACTTAAATGCATTGGCGTAGCTACGGAGGGGTCAGGGGGGCCTGGTCCCCCTGATGTACCTCTGCCCCCCCCCCCTGAAAGATTTAAATACAAAACTGCTTATCAAAAAAACGTAGTAGGTGAATTTACTTATTTATTATTTATTTGATTTAATTTCTAATAAATTGGAAGAGCTTCATCTTACCGACCTATAGATGGTAGGTCAATCCTATGATGGAGCTTCGGTGATGTCGGGTAATATAAGTGATCTCCAAGCAAAAATGCTAGACTAATATTCAGCTGCAATTTACACGCACTGTTTAGTGCGTGTTAAGCCTATCATAGACTTAACTTATCTGTGGTAGACTCATGTAAAAATGTTTCATCAATATCGACATTTTTTGTACTTTGGAAGCAATTTACGAACATTTCTCAGATCCACAGAACCATACCATATTGTCCCCAGAGGGTTAAAAAATCTGTCCCATACTCGTTGCGTTGGAAAACAATGTTTCTAATAAAAATGATAGTCAATCACAGCAATCGGCATATTATCCAGCATTAAACAACTTTCATTCATAATTCAACTTTTTGTATTAGACGGGATACTAAACAGTGACGGCTCGTGGGCACTAAGGGCAGTGGGGCACATACTGGAAAGGAATCCCGGGATTCGTTTTTCCCTCAGGAAAACAAGTTCTCCGCTTAATGAAAATTAAATATATTTCAAAACAATTAGTTGGGGCAATAACGATTTCTGAATGTGACTACAGGGAGCTAAATGTGACCATTCAAAATGCATTTAACTATGTATGTGGCTATTTAATCAAAAAATCATTACATATCCACTCTTGCGAAATTTACGTAAATTTCTCAGAAGAATGCAATTTACTTAAAAATTCTAACTTGTTAACGCATTTTAAAGCATACGACTCTGAAGAAAAGGTGTTTGGCAATTTAAATTCTCCCAGCGAAAAATTTGCAAATTAGAAAAAATATTTATATCTCTATTTGATAGTTTGTCAACTAAGCCTGGAATTTCCAACGCATACCTTTTTGAGATAAGCAATTTGGTCATCTTTGCCAACAATTTGCGAAAATGTACACCATTAAATTATTTATAAGACTCAGAATTTTTTATACTCTTAAATATGCAAACAGAGTTTGAAATCCTCGAAAAAATTTTGTCCCATTTATAAACATTATTGATTTTTTTCATCATATTTTTGACTGCTTTATAAAAAAAAAGTTATTTTTCTTTGTAGTTTTATTTCTTAACTATTCCAATGGTCCAACTAACGTTTTCTCGTAATCACAATAAATAAAATATTATCGTGGTCCAACAAACGCGCACCTTAAGCCGAAACCGGCATCGCCTTTGCGAGGGAGCCGGTAAAGATGCCGCGGCGTACATTCGTATCTGGTCTAGGTAATCTGTGCCATGGGTACAGCACGTCACGATGAGGACAGCGCCCTGCTTGTGACGTATAATCCATCGCATGTGTTCATCTCTTGCTAAGCGACATTGTCGTTGTCCTTGTTTTTCGCATCATAATAAGAGAGAAAACAACAGAGGCACACATTTACTGTGCCCATCTTCCATTTAATTTCGGAATTCTCGGAACGTCGCTCAACGCCCGGTCGTCCAGTGTCGTGCCAACGCGGTTTGCGCTGAATATTAGATAAAATAATAATAGGCATTGAGGAAAATATAAAATATGTAAGTTATTTTTTTTTTTTTTGGTTTATTATACTAGAGCACGTGCCCAAATGCCCTTACGGGCAAACCGCTACTGATACTAAATATCTTAAATATGTTATCGAAAAGCCTTCAGGAGAAAGGTGCGTCTCTGGGGAAAGCAGTTAACGTTATTAAAAGTGTCATTAATTCACTAGATGAAATGCGAACGACAAATACTATACTTGACCTTCATCTAAAAATTTCGGACTTTGCTGAAAAACATCAAGTATTATTGGAAATTCCCTCATCAAAACGAAAAAACCAAGTCGGTAGCAAGCTCGCTGATTTCGTCACCGAAACAACTATAGGACTAGGTTTGATAGACGCCACAAGCTCTAGAGCTATTATCGGAGTAATTGAGTATTGAAGGGAAAACATTTTCTACCGAATTATTGATACTCTAAACAAAAGGTTCTCATCAGAAAGTATGGTACTTGCCAATTCTGTGAATAATTTTGTTCAGTTAGATTTTGAGGGTTCAGTGTAATTCATTGAGCAATACCGTGAAGTTTTGAATATCAACACTTGTCTTAAGGGCAGATATTACCGTTTTAAAAATTGTATTTTTCAATTTGAAGAAACTGTTGGTTATGATTCTATCAAAAAACACATAACAGAATCAGAAAAAACATACCCAAACGTCTATCAACTTTTTAAAGTTGCTATTATTCTACCTATTTCAAGTGCGACGTGCAAGAAGTCGTTTTCTGCCATGAGCAGGATTTTTAATTGGTTGAGAACGACCATGACTCAAGACAGACATTTAGATTTGTCTTTGTTGTTCATAGAAAAAGATGTTCATATCGACTTGGACAGTG